GGGGGGGGGGGGGGGGGGGGGGGGGGGGGGGGGGGGGGGGGGGGGGGGGGGGGGGGGGGGGGGGGAGAAGACGAAGATCGTGACACGTACCCAATACAACGCGTACTCAGCAGCAGCAGCAGCAAGCAGCAGTGCTTCGCCTACCGTACTTCCAAGCACACCCGCCCCACCGCTCAACACCTTCCCCGGCCTGGATGCTAAAGGCGGCTACGCAATTCGCAGGCACGGGTCAGTCATCTTCCTCTCTCCCACTCTCTCTCTCTCTGTCTGTCCCTCTCTGTCCCTCTCTCTCACCGTTCAGGTGGTGTTGTCATGAAGGCGAGCTCATCCTCGACAGCAGAAGGCGAAGAGTCAACCCCGGCTGTTGTTGCCGTTGGGGGCAGCTTCGGAAGCGTCGTCGGCATCAGAAACAGGGCGGCGGGGATGGCAACGAGCTGGCCGATCAGGCCGAGCAATGTGCGGAGCTGCATCTCCCGCTCTCCCGGTCACCTTGCGTATCCTACGTGGTGAATTTTGTTGTTGGTCGTTTGACGAAGAGCACACCGTCAGCGGGTTCCAGAGAGCGCGCGCGATTCCCGATTCCCCTTTTTTTTTGTTGTCAAAAATGCGGTGGAACTGCTACACCTCCACCACCGAGGTTTGCGTCGACCTTGCCCTGCCACTCCAAGCACTCTTACCTGCTGCGTTGTTGTGTCGTCTTGGCCCTCTAGGCTAGACTGTTTTGGCACTGCCATGGCTGAGGAGTCCTCGTCGCGCAACAAGCGAAGACGAGACGATAGCAGCAGCAGCAGCAGCAGCAGCAGCAGCAATGGACACTCTGGATGCGTCAAAGTGGCACCGCCGGCATCATCAGCAGCATCGGCGAGAGAGTCCGCAGCGGCGAGCGGCAGTACCGTTGTACGAAATCATAGCAGCAGCAGCAGCAGCAGTAATGCCTGCTTGCGGAAGGGCATGCTTATCCTCAAGAGCTTTCTCTCGGTAGATGAACAGCAAGAATTGGCGGTGAGGCCGGGGGCAAGCATGTGTGCGTGTTGGTGATGCGCATCTTGGCTTTTTATGTACCAGTTCCTAGTTCCTGTTTTGCTCTCTCGCTGACTCCCCTCGCATGCACGTATGCATATCTCGCGCTCGACCATGTCGCCCTTGCGAGCACACGCAGGAGCGTGGACGTATGTATGCTACTTGCTGACTGTTTTCACGCCAACCACCGAACGACACACGATCACTGCTGTTGAGCTCATCCGTTGGTCGTCGAACTCTCAGTCGCGCTGACGGCGTCCCGCCCCCCCGTTCCCTCGAAGTCTCACGTAGGTCGCCTAGGCGCGCTACAGCACGGTGGTTTTTACTCCTGCCACAACGAGAAGACGAAGCGCATGCGGATGGTGAGACGTGCAGGGAAACGGAGGGGGGGAGGGCTGCTGCCTTCGGCACGTGTACATCAGAGTACATAGCCGTGAAATCGCCGACCTTGAACATGGGTTGTTTGCCACGGATTTGCCCCTCGTAGGGTAGGCGACTTGAACCCTAGGACTTTGGCCGCGCTCGTTACCTACGGTGCGGCTTATTTGTTTGGCCTTGAGTTCAGCGTTTTATTCGGAGAAGACAGCCAACCTCAAGTCGGGAGAAGGGGAAGAAGCGGCAGATAGAAAGTTCAAGCGGTGAGCGAGCGAGAGTGGTGGAGCGAGGTACCTCGTCCGACACAAGCCTTGGACCAGAGATGGATGTCGAGAATCGAGCCTCAAGCGTTTTCACTGACAACAACAGTAAACCACAAGCCGAAAACGATGCAACGCCGACAGATGAATCTGGGGCTGAAGACAGACGGGAAGAAGCACGTGTTGCCCATCCCGCCGGCGTGGACGGAGGTCGCCCTGAGAGTGAGCGAGCGACGAAAGGCTCTCGTTACCGGACGAAGCCGGTCGAGACTCACGTACTCCGTAGCGGATCTGATTCTTCCTCGGGTTTCGGTTGCTCTCGCCCCGACGCCTCTCTGTTCCTAGCAGACCCCGTCCGTATGCGGTTCTGGGTCCGGAAAGGTCGTGTTTCTAGAACCGAATAATTCCTTGATGCTCGAGAGCGAGGGAGGATCATGTTTCTCGCCCAGTAGCCTTCGGAGGCTTTTTGTATTCAAGAAAAATGTTGCATAAAGCATACAATCGGGGAAGTTGGGTTAGGGATATGGTTAGAGAATAGGGGTCTGCCTACCCCCTCCCTGTTTTATTTCCTCATAATACTGAATTTCCCGCGAAGACGGTCCTGCTCTCCACATGGTAGTTTCGTTACCGTTACCAACTTGGGATGCTAACCTCCGTCGCCTGCTGCCATGGCATGTCTAGCGGGACTCGACAACAGCCACAGCACAAACTGTACGGCCACTTCGTTGCACCTGTCGGTACACGTTCAACTCACCGACCGGGATCGCACAGAGGAGGACGGTACATTCTCCAATTATTTTTTGTTCTTTGCTCTCCACCTTTCCCCTTGCGGTGCTTGCCTTCGACTGTTTACGCGAGACGCATTCATTCAGCTGTTCTCGCCCACGCCTAGCTGCGAGCTAGCAAGCGAGCTGCTGCTCTGTTCGTCTTGCTGGTATGAAGCGTACTACCCTTACTCTGGTTTGTCCTTTGTTGCTAACCCTTAGTTTCGTTTCCCTGGGCAGGCCTGTCGGGTTGCTGCGGAGATGGACCCATCCATTCCCATCCCGCGACCAGACATTTGCGTGGTAAACCACTACACCGCCGCGTCTCGCCTGGGATGGCACCAAGGTGCGTGGGCGAGCCGTCATTTGAAGAATCCTACGATGTTGTTGTTGTTGTTTTTGTTGTCTTGCAGTAGGTGGCGCAACAACCTATCACCCCTTCCCAACAAACTCCAGATCTCGATGAACGCCAGGTGGGATTGTTTTCACAAAAGCCCAGACAAACTCGTTTGTCACTGACGCGGGTGGTCGGATGGTACTTGTGTTTTTTTCTCGCGTTGTGGTACAGGTTCTAAATTTTTCCAGCGCTGACCTTCTGCCCGTAGCAGATTTGTCGCTTGCTGATCGTTCACAGACCACCGCAAATATTCTTTGTGGGTTTGACGCTCATTTTTTTTCTTCTCTGTTGAGCCTTTTTCCTTTTCCGTGCATGCATGATTTCGAGTGGATTCCACGGTTGTTGCTGCTGCCGAGCTGTGTTCTTTGACCCCCATGTGTCGCTTAGAGTGACACTCTGATGCTGCTATTCTGAGCAGACCGCCGGCGCCAAATGCTCTACGCCCCCTGACTCCCCATGTCCCTGGGGCGTGCGTATGCCTTGTGCTGCGCGCTTTGTGCCGAGATCCCGCTACCTACCGGAACCGAGCACCCATTGTTTAACAGTCTGCTGCCGTTGTGCTGTGCATACACACACGCCTTGTCTTACGGTGAACAGCCTAGCCTCCCGCATAACGCCCCCTCACGGATTTTCCAGACCATGGCCTCTGTAAGTGCTCTCTATTTTCAGTCGCACTCTCAGACGGACGTGTTTTCCTTTCTGTCGGCCGGTTGGCATGGTCGATGCTGATATGAAACAACGCACACACCGCTGGCTGCCGGACGTCCGTTTTTGTGTGTTCGATTCCGCCAGATCTGTCCAGCCGTCGAGATTCAGGGCTGCCGGTAATCTCCTTCTCTCTCGTGAGTGTATGTGTCGCTACTGCACCATTTCGTCGACCGCAGACGGCAGACAAGGAGGATCTGTATTGCACGCACAAGTGTTTTCATCGGTTGGCTCTTTGAAATGGCCCGCTGAACATCTCCGCACGATGCACGAGCGGTCGCGGTACTCCTCCGGGTGCTGCTGTGGTTGTTGCTGTTGCTGCTACTGCAGTTGCTGCTGCTGCTGTTGTTTGTTGGCTTCATGTGAAAATTATCTCTGGCCTCTGTCCGCACAACTCCCCCTTCTTGATTCGAGAGAAAAATAACTACTTTGCGTGGTCGCCGACGTTGCTTCCAGCTTTCGACGGCTGAGATGGTGTCCTCTGGGAGATACCATTTCCGTAAAATACTTTTCCCGCGTATGAACCGCAGCCTCAATCGGAGGTAGTCGGCGATCAAGTCGACGGAATGGCACCGGTCGTTTCTTCGTGTTGCTTGCCGAGCGAAAGGGGGTCACAAGGCGAGGCCACTGTTTTTCTGTGGCTGCAATCGCATCACACCAAAGTGCCTACGAGAAACAGTTGTAGCGAGCGTCAGGGCCAGCTGTTCTGGGTGCAATCACGTCGCACCGCTGTCTTCTGCACGAAAAGAAGCAAGCACACCACGCAACGGTTATGGTCGCTCGCCACTGCTGTCCTCCAGCCAACGAGGTTCCGGTTGGCGCTGACTTACTCTTAACCCCCCA